TACTATCGACCTTGATTGAGTTGGGTAATCGGTTTAGCATCCCCTTAAAGCTACACATAAACGCGCCCGCGTCTGAGCGGACATAGGATCCGTCCTAGATCGTTAAAAAGTCATGAATGTGGCTTATATGTCTTCCGCAATGCGACGCGCTCGAAGGATGCTGCGTCCTCGCGTCCCACGCGTGCTTATCCTCATACGAGTTCCTCCGTGACATCCATTCGTTATTCGTATTTCATCGACCATGTGGGACCAACGTCCGATTACGCTCTAACTATTTTGAATCGATTCCGACTAACGATAGAGATTGACCGAGGACATTTTTGAATAATTATGTTTGTTTCTATTTGCTCTCAACAACTCGTGCGAGTCGTGAAACTTTGTTGAATAGTCGTTAGCCGTTCGCTGTCGGGTTGAATCATACATTTTTCATTTCCCGATCGTTTAAGAATTATCACGTTTCTCTCGTCATGGATAAATTGTATCCGATAAATCATGATAAATCGCGATACTGCCGCGAGCCGCTCATTGACAGGAAGAAAATTTAGAATCGCGTCATTTAGAGTCACGCTTGTATTTGCGCTGGTATTTGTCTTTAAAGATATCGATGAGGTCCTTCTGAAATCTGAATTATTGCGCAAGAGTTTTCTGTCCTGGGTACGGCGAATCCTTTTCTAACAACGCAAGTGCACGGAACGAGCTACACTTCTCAATATCGGGACGAGTCATCGAGTCGATGGATGGATATTTCTTCTTAACCTGGAGCGTGCTACGCAGCGCAGCGAGACCCAGAGCGCGGACTTTCTAACGATTCGGCGCAAAGCATGATCTGACCCGGGTCGACCCTCCGTTCTCGCTTGCTGGAACTAGCGTGTAGCATCGTCACACACGTGAAACGAGGCCTCCTGGCATCGATCAATTAATCATTAATAGGCGCTAATACCCACCGCGTATCACGTCGATTATGTACGTGCGCGTCGAATGATGCGGGACGTTCTCGTTCTAGATTCCTGCGGCTTGAAGCCGAAGCGCTTCCTCCTACGTCGATCAATCCGCAATTCCGTCGGCCACGCTCGATTCGCACGAAGGGTTTGCCTTGACTTGGATGTCGGATATGTTTGGGAAAGGATCGTATGATGTTTCTATGATGGATGATCGATGAAATTAGAGATTGTTAAAAATTACTGTATTGTTGCGCGAATTCGATTAGATACTTCCTGTACAGACTGCACCAAGCTTGCTATCCATCGACCCGAACAGTTTCCTGTATTTGGTTCGCTATCTATCATAGTCTCTGCAGTTTTGATATCACAAATTCGAGTAACACTGCGTTTTACAAATAAAAAGACATTGACATTAAATTAATTGAATGAGGTGTATAAGTTCTAGGGGATAATTCTCTCTTTACTTAATTAGTATAATCGTGACTTTTTCTTAATGTATATAATCTGCTTTTTTTTAAAGAGCAATGTGTAATTTAATGATAAAAGACGATTTAATAAATTAAGTTTATTGAGTACCTACATTTACCAAACAACGATAGCAACTGTCGGTTTTAGATAGACAGCAATACTACAGTGGCAAAATGCCTTTTTCGATTGTATGGTAGACTTGCGTCTAAACATTCATAATGATAGCCCGCGTAGTTGTACTAGAACATTTACATTATTTACGAAATTAATGATGAAAAGCGTGTCGACTGACGCTAATGCGACCTGCTTATTCGCTTGTATCGTTCTAGGTACCTCGATGTGATCGTAGTAGTAATGGTCTTCCGCTTCGCGATATCAATGAATCATGTTAATAATTTAATGAATTCGATTTACGGCGAATCGTATCCAGCTTGAATATTAAAAGATAATACGCCATAGAAAAGGATGAACAGTTTATAGTTTCCGGTTTAGATTGATATATAACTTTAAATTGAAATCTTTTATAAATCTCATATTTTGTTTTCAGCTCCACTGAAAATCAGAATTATAAATTATTTACATTCTGAAAATATTAATTGTATAAAAATTGTATAATAGAAATTTATTAAATAATTATTTTTATATGAATTTTTATCGTTCATTTGTCTATGTAATTGTTTATTCAGTAAGAACTGAAAACAAGATAATATTGATTCTAATTTATCGAAGAGTTTCACAAGTTTACGTACGCGGCTTTTGGCGATTAGTAGTTGTAATTATTCGGCAATTACTGGTATCTTTGCATCTCTATCCGAGCGGATAAATCCGAATTCGCTACAGTGAATGCGAATTATATTTAGAAAGTATCTTCTTATCGTGGGCAGCGAGCAAACTGCCCGGGGATTTGCACAGAATCACTACGATTCGTCGATCGATTTAATGGTTGGACACGTGGCCAGCGCCTACCTAATCGGCAAAAACGTTAATTAACCTGAGGGCCACGTGCGCGCTTTCTCCCACATCCTGTGTACATACAGGCGTGCGGTATCGCGTACGTGTGCACGTGAATGTTGACTCGGAAAGACACGTACGTTCTTAACTGGGATTTAACGCCATCTTTCTCCGCTCGACAGATCGCTACCGTGCGTTTGAAAGCGTGTATGCCGATAACCGTGAACCGGCTTTAGCCTCTCATTTATACAGAAATATGCCGAGACGTATTCATCAAACGTGCATTTAATTATCAGCGACTGAGAACAGTATAAATACTTTCAGTCATGTTTTCATGTTTTTTTTCCTCAGTGAATTCAATCAATCTGAGAAAAGAACAAAAATCACGATATCACAAGTGTCTATCAGACCGTCAAATTAAGAAAAAAGATAGACATTCTATACTTACAAGAAATAGAATGATATATAATCGCTTTTCATAGTGCTACAAGTTGTTACACAATCCGAGTGATATTAGTGTACCAGGATAATACATTTTCTTAATCGCTACACATGATCTACAACACATGTTCGCATCTATTCTATTTTTCCCTCCGGTTTTTTCTCCTTCTACTTTTGCGCATCTGATTCAGTACCTAGCATGTGAATACTCGCATTTTCTATGTTGCGGCCATCGAACTCATCTGACTTCGATGTCGAGTTACTACATATTCTTAGCTAGTTAAGTGTTGCCTGTATCCTATACGCCGTTACACATGGACATTGTAATTTCCAGGCGGTCGCGAGCAACGAGCGAAAGACAGTGTGCGCACAAAGCAGAGTATATTGACGGCCGGTTGTTCTCTACAGTCAAGCTGTAATCAACATTTTATTGGCTTTAGCAGCGTATCTTTGCCGTACTATGACTCTTGTTGCTCTTCCTTGATCGTTTCAGTATATCTCTTCTGGCTACCGCTCTCGTTAGCGCACGCTCGCATGTACAATGTCAATAATTGAATTAAGGATAATAATGCATGTCAACGGTTTAAGTTGTTGTTTAGAAAAGTACCGACTTTTCTATATCCTCGTGTTCGTCGATAATAATGTTAAAAACTGAATGCATTGGTGATACGTTTAATGAATTTCCAATCATTTCGAATTATTATACAATAACGTTGTTTAGTGAAATAAATACGATCGTTATGCAGTAAGCACTTAACAGTAGTCGAAATTAATTAGCATCGACGTAGACGTTAATTATTGCTAGACCTTTCATTTTCATCTTCGTCCAATAATAATATGAAAATATATATTCATGTCCCAAAATATCGTTGCTTCGAAATTACAGCTTGCGGAATTACGCGATACATCTTATAATAATGTTTACGGTCATATCTTTATATACGTGTCAGTTTTCCTAGATTAAAGATCAGCAACTCGAACGTCGGCGTGATATCCTCGACTCTATCGATTGATTCCTGTATGGCTCGTTAGAGCTATGACTAATTACAGCTCGTTATAGGTCAATGCTTAATTACACTGCGGGCAGGATTCCACCTCCGCTTTCGGCCTTATCGTCTTCGTGATCTTAGAAGCGGCAACAGGTTCTCTCCCGTTGCCACGATTTTATGCACGAACACCATAATTCTTGCTCCGAATATCGTTGAACTTAGACGACCTTTTACATTCACGTGTCACGAGCGACGTAACGAGAATTGCCGATTTATATTTTATACATGCACCCGCTGTATCATCGGTGTATGAGCATAATTAATTGAGTAGTAAACGAAATTAATGCTCATGCTGAATTTCATGCTGCACGAACTGTCTTTCAGTTGACAGTCTACGGTGACAGAAAGGTGGAGCAGATATGAAATGCTAAAAAATAGTAATAAATGAAAGAAAAGACAGCTCTGACGCCATATTGGATTAAGAAATGATAAAAAAGATCTCAATTTAAACAATATTTTTTGTTCTCGGCATAAACTTCATCTCACAGACACATATTAATGCGTGTACTTTAATCCCGGAAAAGAAATCTGTAAAAGGGAAAAATAATTGTTATACAAAAATTATTGCGTTACGTTTAAATATCATGTCCTTGCATTGATTTACGGATGCGCGCTTTATTGAATTGGCTTTTTTCTACATGTCGTTCAGACATTTAGTTACCAATGTACACAGTCATAGGCACACTCATTCGCATTTTTACGAGGAAGCTCCGCGAGTGTCCGTGATAATTTTCTACGGAATATACTTTGTTGATGTATATGATGTTTAATTTTAAAATAAGTCATGAGATTGTACTTTTTCTCTCATTTTATTAGTAGAGATAGAAGTCTCTACGAAGAAGAAGCAATTTCAAAAGAATATATCGCTCTTCTATCTTTTTAATTCACATTTTCATACACGGGTATTTGTAGCTGGTCTCCCATGCTATAGAAATGACGGTAAAGATTCATGCGCGCGTTTTCAGACCAACGCAACGCCACGCAGCGTAAATCGAATAACGGATATTCTCGCGTTATACGGTAGCGTGATTTCTCGACTTCACGAGATTCCACCCTGCCCTGCCTACTTGCAGACGGAGCATATGCGGCGAGCACATGTTGCGCGCGTAAGCGCATTTCCCCGAAGCAGATTCGCTTCGCCTCGTTCGCCTCGTATCTTGTTATCGTTTAAGGCTGATTACGAAACGCGGTAGCGCGCGGGCCGCTTTGTGGAGATGATTGCGCGATGATGAGGTCTGGAATCACGAAACATCGGCGACGTGGTCGTCACGGCCGTCTCTCCTCTCTCTCTCTCTCTCTCTCTCTCTCTCTCTCTCTCTCTCTCTCGTTCTTCTTGCTCTAATCATCGACGACGTTTCTGCCGCCCATTCTCTTCCTTCTCTCTCGATACTCTTCTCTTTGAGTTGCAGCCTGATGAATGGCCGGTTCTCTATTCTCTTCCTCCTGCTTTCTCTACATGTGATTCTCCCTCGTAATCGTTCAGGTGACAGATCTAGGTTACCGGCGCTTGCATCACCCATCGCGCGATCCTGTATCGGCGAACTCGTGAGGCTCTTCTTCCTCCTATATAGGAACACGAGACCACGTCGCCTGCGGGACCGTCTGCACCACGTGTTCTGTTCGTCTCGCTCGATCTACGTCGATCATCGTCAAGGAAGTGCCGCACGAGCGGAGCTCCACGGGCTGCTCTCACCTTTCCCCGTTAACGTGCACTTACGACATGTTACTTATGATCGCGCAAATTTCGTTCTTAAGGTGACGACGCGACGAGATAATTCGCAATGATGTACATTGTTCGCTTCATTGACTTTGATTTGATTACTATATATAAACCGACTCCAAATCCTAATTTCGCGAAAGTTTCTTCACTACACTCCGTGACAAAATCGTGTCACGGAAAAGAAAGAATTGAACATTTTCTCGCTCGTGTCTTCTCGTTGTTTCGTTAAAGCCAATCGATTCCAGCCAGCCATTCCGTTTCGCGGCGTTCACCAGCAAACGACTGGACGCTTCCTTTAAAGGATCCTTTAAAGTGCTCGTCTTACCCGCCTCTAGTACGTATCGGCACGTCCATCCTTCCTGTCGCATCGAAACGCATCTCGCGGTGCATTCATGTCTGCCCGCCGTCGTTTCTCATCCCCTCGATCTACGCGCTTCGGTTCTCCAAGCTCGGACGTCATAGACAGCTGGTATCTTTATCGTATCGATTCGGCTGACAAACTGGAGGATACCGCAAGACGAATAGCCGATCTGCATGAGGTATGGAGTCGTGCGCGTTGCGATTAGTCAGGAAGACTCGGCGTCCTCGTGCTCTAATGGGCATCGTTAGCCGTTCAAGTAGTAAAGGAGAGGAGCGTGTCGGTACGCGGCCGGGATAGTCACTCTGTACCCTAACTCGGTTTAACGTCTGGTGCAACGACACGAGGCAAGTTCGATTAGCGGGAGACTGACTAGAAGACATCACGGCGTACATATACTCACGTCTCTGCTGGGAGAGCAGCCATCGCGCGGGTAAAGAGTGTCTCAGCTAATCGTCCCACGATCGTCATCCGCGGCTTTTACCCCCTTTCATGGTAACACAGAATATATGGCGAACGAGGAAACCGCCGGTTTGATGAAAACGATACAGCATAAGACGTCTAATGAGCGCCGCTTAACCGCTGCTTCTTGTCACATTCTCCGGAGTCTACGCTATTCTCGATTCTTTTTCTCTTTCTTTAGTTTGATAATGGCAGATAGATTTTTATTACTTTCCAGGCAAGTTTGTTACGTAACATGTTTTTTTCTGCAGTACGGCATTATTGTAGAAAAGAAAACTCGCAACGACTATTATTTAATTAAGAGAGATATTTATCGCCGCAAACACTAATATTTCAATCTCATGGATAATTACTACTTTAAGCTTCATACATATATGAATACAAATTCCGTTAAATTTTTATTTAAAAAATAAGAAAGAATTTACACATTTAGTTTGAAAATATTTGAGAAATCTCTTATTCGGCATATAGGTACTTGAGAATTTTCAAATGCATGTTGTATAAATTACTAAAAGTTAAAATATTATCGAACATATATCATCTTCGACATTCTCCTTCGCGTACCCGGCTTGTCGTTATATCCAGGAGATCGGAAGTGGGTCGTGGTACGGGCGCGGTAGCCAGTCACGGCGAAGGTAACGTTAGGTGGGGTACGCACGATCTCATTCTTTGCACTAGGGTAATGATAATTAATCCACCAGAGACCGCTCCTTTCAGCTCGACCACGCCAACGGTCAACACCGGGGCGCCGCGCCGTTGTTATTCCTCCATCTCGTTCAACCTCTCGTACTCCCTACCTTCTCCTCCACCTTGCCGACCTGCCGCTCTTTTCTTCCCATTAACCAATTAATAACGTCACCTAGTCCGGCGTTACCGTTCCGGTTCTCCTCGCCGCATTGACCCTGACGAACGGTACCTGCGAGCTAGGCCGGGTTCGAAGAACCCTCTCCTAGGTGATTATAACCCTCGACGACGCAATTTCCCCACTGCGCCGTTGGGAAATCGTTAGATTGTATTAAAGATTAAGAGATCTTATCGAGTTGCGTTATGATTACCAGCAAGCGATTACCAGTTACAGGGTTGTTACATGAAACAATAGCTACATACATAAAACACATACATATATCTGTATTTACCTTTCAATTTTTATGGACTATATTTTGTAAGTGATTGATTCTTTCTCGTAGAAAGCTTTATTAATTAAGTTAGTTTTATCATAAAAAATGTTAGTAAAACGAGAAAAATATTTTTTTTCTGAAATATCTAAAAAAAAAGACTTAAGAAAAATACTTAAAAAATGTTTTTTTTTTTCGTGAAAAAAGACAAAACTTTTACTATGAATCTTAAGAGATTGTGTAATCTCAAGGAGGTTTACTGTGTGCAATATAGTATACAGGTATATATGTACACAATGTACATAAATTGATCATCTATATCGATTAATAATCATTTGCGGTTCTCCAACACGAGCATGCATAATTAAATTTCTTCGTCTCGCGGATGGAAGTGTACTCGAGGGCATGCCTGAAGCCTCTGGAAACAATTTTCTCGTAACAGCTTAGAGCAACGCGAAAGCGTTGCGCGATAGTGAGTAGTCGTTTGTAAATTACAACTGTATCTTTCTAACCGCAGATCGAAGGTGATAAGGTACTTGGACGGGGGCATGAAAGCCTAACGCGATCTCGCCGCTCTATGCGCTTTTATCTCACTTCTTGGTACACGCCTTGTGAGAGATTGCGAGCGTAATGTCACGTCTGGCAATGGCCTACACAATTAACTCACGTTACCCGCGATTCAATGTCTTTTTTCCATATGCAACGTTCTTCCGAGAATTTTCTCAAGATCGTGGGACGACGCGAGTCCGAGGGCAGCATTTCTGCGGCTCTCGCGGCGTGTTAACATAATTATTACATTCTCTTTATCGTTCCTTATACCCACCGTAGCGACTTTCGTCGCCGATTGACATTAGCATCGTGACATTAACGCGCGTCGCACTGACATAAACGAGCACCAAGAGGATTCTTGATATCTCGATAAATGGACGAAACGATTTAAAGGCAATAGCTATTTATAATTATGTATTCCGTTTCCCGAACATTGCAGTCTGCTAGTCACTAATGTATACGCGATTGTTTCGTAAAGAGTTTTTGATGGAACGTGACATCGTGTTTAAGTATTCCCTCTATCGCAATCTTAACTGGATTATTAATCTCCGTCTGACGTACACGGTTTTGAATCGCACGATTGTACCGGGTCGGAGTTAGACGCGACCGTTCGAGACCGCGTTGCTTCACGACGAGAATCAATCATATCACTCGCGTGTGTATGGGATTTTACTAATTACATAACCGTCAAATAATGATGTTAATAACGCGCGAAGACGCTGGGAACTGGGGAAGGGAATTGGCACGAAGGATGTATGAACATTTTTTTCCAATGAACATTATTTATATACCAGCCGAATTACGTAAAGGACAACTGTACGTAATTACAGAATTATTTCTCTCTCGTCGGTGTTGCACAATGCGATAATCGCATGCGCAACATCGTGTAACACATCGAGGTGTTTTGTTTCAATCCTTCTTATTCGCGATCGCTTTTATGCACGATCGCTGCACCGCGTACGACCGGTGTTCGCCGCTGGTAGTACACATTGTCATAAGCGGCTGGGACGAGCCAAGTTTCACAGACCGAATGGATGGTCTCTCCGCCTCCGAGTGTGCCGAAGATTTATCGCTCGCGCGAGAGACGTCTCCGCGCGAGTTACAGACTTTCCCAGAGAGATGTTACCAGACTGACGATGAAACCGCAACCAGTCGATAGACTCTCCCGCTTTGTTTCTCTCCAGATGAGAGCTCTAAGCTTGTCGTATACCTCTCATTGCGGATGCACCTTCGCGGTAAGATTTATTACCGGAAAAAAGAATCAAACGTACAAAAATATACTCTTCTTTGTTTTTCGCGATCGCGGCGTCAGTTAATCTTCGTTTTGAATAAACGTTTTGAGATGATCGAAACAGTTGTCATAAATGCGTACGAAATCATAGATAATTGTCAAGTATATATATTATTATTAAGTACTTCAGTGTCGCATTTATCTCGTCGTCGCCATTACCTTGATTTATTCTACCGATTTTAATCTTTGGTTGGCGGAGCAAAATTTGAATAATTCCTCGGAGCGTTTCGTGTCTGGATCGCTCGGAAGGCAGGGCAGCGATCAGCCGTGTGATTTACTTTTAGAAATAGCTACTTTCGCGTAGATAAGAGCGATAATGGTGGCGCGAGCGAAGAAAGACCGATGGTCGTGGTCAGTCTTGATGCTTGAAAAGAACATCTAGGATGGTTGTGCTTATTTTAGGAAGGTCTGAGAACCGGTCGCTCTCTTATTTCGCTCTTCTCTCAGCAGGAAGGAGCCCTAGCATCATCGTTCGCAAAGATAATGAAATGATTTAACATAGGGGAGATACGCGGCCAAGGGCGATCGGGTCGAAGATTTACCGTTCGTGTTAACTCCTTCGTACTCACGAGGCAAGTTAGGTCCCGCTGCCCAAAATCTCGACGGTCCGTTGGACATTTCGGATGATACGCTTCGTTCGTGTGAGCAAAATTTTTCGAGCAAGATTACTCGATTAAACAAAATTAAACAGCCATTTATTGTATTAGATATGAGATGTGAAAAATGGAATTCACGGAATTTGAACTTTCGCTATATAGTATAAAAATTCACAGCATATATCTCGCTCGAGTACTTTTGAGCCATACTGTAGGATAAAATCGCGTCCGTCGGAGCAGCATCGGTCGGATGCTGCCGGCGGGGACAATTACGCAGATGTGTGCCTTGTGTAGAGCAGAAGAGGAGGACGCGCAAAAGCGTGTGGCGTGCGGGGTCGATTCCCTCTCTTCAGCATCGCGTCCGCTCCTCGGAGTCAGTTTCGACTCCAAGTCTCTTTCGTAGTCGCGCGTGCGTGTTCGTAGACACACCTACATAATGTAACCCCATCCCCCTGCGTTCAGAATTAGTATGCACTTGCGGACGAGCGATCATGTGCGTGTACGTTGAGCCGGAATCCCTCCTCGTTCTCTTCCTCACGCGCGCGCGCGAGAGCACACGTGTACCGTGTACGTCTCGTACGACCGCGATGGAGATCCAGGGGATCCAGGGGTACGCGGGGGAGGGGGGGGGGAGAGAGGCAGAAGTGATTACAGAGCGCGAGCCTCTGGTTGCCCCCGGCGCGTGCGTCCAGATCGACCATCCTCTCCCTCGTACAATCCTCCCGGTTTCACCTTTCCTGGAACACGGCCCCCGGGGGATTACCGTTGGATTTCAGCGCGTCCGCGTCGGTACTCTGGTATCCAGAAAAGTTAACGCCGTGCCGTGCCGTGCCGTGTCGTGCCGAGATACATTGGAAGTAGGACCCTCGTCGAATCCGCCGACCGCCACGCGCGTCAGGTGGCTTCAAGGACTTTTTCATTTCCACATATAAAACGCGTCTTAATTTTACTTTTTAAAACGGCCGACGATATTAAATTTATGATATTGGAAGCAGCAATGAAATATTCACAGCATCTTTGATTGGAGAAGGGTAACGTATATTGTAGTTTATTTTTTATCAGACGGATAACAGCAATGTTATGTATAATAAAATGAAGACGAGGGTACAGAGGAGTTTGGTATTCTATGCGAAAAATTTAAGTGGCGCCACGAAAGGTAAATCGTTATGTATGCGAATCGTTCTCGTAAAAGCAATGATTGATTTTAATGGGCAATAAGAAACTCAGTGCTGCATGAGATAAGAGAAAATGAGTGGCGATTAACGTCGGGATCGGTTACGCAGCGCGAACACGCGACAACCGCTCGTTTGTGGTTTGCGTTATTTCTGATGTGACGGATGACCACGTTAAAGTCGAAACTTATCGTCGATTTAACGTGAGATTCAATTAAAGATGGAACGCGGGAAAATCGTGAGTGCTTTATTACGATATTCCCTCCCTCCGTCATCGACACGGTTATTTACAAACGAGAAAAAGCGAGTTTATTGGACTATGAAATTAGATATCGCGGATACAGAGCGAGAGAAATATCTACGCACGGATGACGTTCGAGTGATGGAGGATGTGCCATATGCATAGTTTATCTTAAACGCAAAGTTTATCCCCCCTGCTTAGCGATTTCCTCGTGTTAATCTCCTGTCAACTTTAGTTACTGCATTTTATATTATCATCATGTTTTTATTTGCAATTTTGAGTAGTCAAGGGACGTAACTGAATAAAATAGGAAACTATTTTAAAGCAGTCTATCATTGCATGTCTTTAAAACTTCTAACTTAATCCTTCACATGTTGATTTGTTCACTATATAATATGGTCATGAAGCGTCATCATCGTGATGCGCGTTTCGATAAATGGTAGTTCCGTCATATCGCGTAATCGCGCTGATGACTTGGGCCAGTTTCGCCAGCTTTGTTCCGTACAATTGTCCATAGCCGCAGTGAAAACGTGAAATCATAACGATCGCAATTAAGCGGCCGACGAGTCGCGAACCCGCAACCTCTGCGCGAAAGCGCGGAAATGTACACGCGGCCTCGGTCTGCCTCCTCTCTCGAGGACGCTAGGCCGGTGCGCGCATGCTGAACTTTCACCGCAATTAAGCTAAAAGCGCAATTTCTGCCGCGACCGCGTTCACTCCTACTGGGGTTAATAGCTCCGCGCGATATCGCGCGCGGTGTAATTCCGCGGAATTCCGCGTCAAACGGATTTGGAATTGAAATCGAGAATATTGCAGGGGAATGTAATATCCGTGAGAAATCCGATTTGATTTTTGATTTTGATCCAATTATATTGGACACGTCGATATTTATCTGACAAACGAAAAAACTTGCCAAGTGAAAAGAAACATTATTTGTTCATAGAAAAATTCTTAATTTATCAAGGATAAATCGTGCGTTATATGGGGTGACAATAGTTGCTGAAAGAAAATAGAGCAGATCTTTTTATTTTTTAATGAATAGAAGTAAATAAATTAATCTATTACACTACTGTGTGTGTGTGATACAGAAGAAATTATTTTCTCCATCATTTATTGGCATACAAAAGAAATATATTACATGCATTCGTGAACTTGTAAAAATAATCATAAAAAAGATTAACAATTTGACTGGCTCGATTTGACATAAATTCAATGATACATATATTTTTAAAATAATAACTATGTATATAATATACATATATATGTATTATATATATATATACATAATCTTTTTAATTTTATTAAAAACTTTATTAAGATATATGTAAATGTTAAAAATCTTGCAAAATTTAAAAGAATTTTCTTTTCGGATTGGGTAGAATATTTTTTTTTTTTCAAAAAAGTTATTCAGAAACGAAGAAAAACTTTGCGACATGCAAACGAATCGTGATCGAAGAGTTATGGCGTGACGAAAGAAAGGTTTTGTCGTCGAGATTTACGCACGGATGCACTCATAACCGTGAATGAATCGTGCACCGTGGCCGATGGGCCGGCCATTATTATTACTCTAATCCATCTGCATTGTCATTAGAGACCGGCAACGGTCACAGCTCTTCTAACCTGGTTGATACCGCTTCTTGCTGAAAAAACAATGTTTCATGCATTTACTATTTGCCTTCTGGAGAAAGCGAGGGGTACAGTCGTTTCTCGCGGATTTCGGAAAAAAGAAAAGCGAGAAAAATTTATTCTATAACTATATACATATGAAGGTTGTCTTTATAACATTCTTAATATTTTTATTGAGTAACACTTTTTTCGTTTTTATTATTATTATTGTTGTTATAAATTAAAATTGAAAAAATAATGATAAGAGTTTCAACTTTTTATATAAGTACTTTAAGTATTTAAAATAGTTTATATTTTTATTGCGATTCAGAAATTAGTTACGAAGATTTAAAAGAAATAAATATTTTGTTTATTTACAGCACAACTAATTATAAATCAATCTGAATACTAAAGTACTTATATATTTAAAAAATTAAGATTTTTATCATTTTATAATATGTTTTCATATATTTCTGTTAGAATACGGAGATTAAAAAAATATTACCTATTTTGAAATAACTTTTGTTCCAAATGGTAAACTGTTAAATTTATATATTTATAATCAAATCGTGCTCCGGAATGCATTAATACTTTAGTCTTGTTTGGATAAGAGTTTTGCGACAACCCCCGCAAAACTTGATCGCATGCATTGCTTATTCCCCCCTTGTTCTCTCTTACGATCCGACGGATCTCCTTGCAGGTCCCGTCTTCTTATTGACGCCGCGTCCGCTCCGAATTGAGCAATTACGCGGCAATAATTAGGCCCCGACTTTATATCTCCGTAAATTATGGCGCGGTAGCGGAGCGGCGTAGCGATCGAGAGCCGAGGCGTAAGAGAGAGGTACGGAGACAATGGGGTCCTCGGCGGAACAATGGCGCGGCCCCGTATAGTTGGGGCACGGTTCAGCGCTATAAACAATACCGTGGAGGAGCCTGGCTGATAGGGTCGTCGGGTCAGCCCCTGTGGGAGCTCATGACTCTCTTTACTCCTCTTCATCCGCTGCTCCTCCCCAGCTTCCTCTTGAACGAGGTCACGAAATTAATTTTTCACCGTGCACGAGCTCGTACGAGAAAGGTCCCGGCGTGGCCTTACGGACCCCTACAGGGTTTACCAACGTTTGCTACTATACGTGCTCGTGCACTCGCGCACATCTCCTTCGGTATATACAGATAATTCGATGAAAATTTCTACTATGGGTAACTCTTATTAAGTTTACTTGAGATCGGATCCATGTATTTTGAAATATATATTGAAATAAATCTTCGTATTTTTGTAAATTTAATGAAGAAATATGTGTTTGCGAAAAAAAAGTAAATTTTAATTACAATCTATATTCATAAATATTAAGAGTAAAATATAAAATATTTATTAATTAGAGAGGAGAGTACAAGATCATGTTATTTTTTTTAAATCTTTATATTTTCTTTGTAATTTCTTTGGTTTTGTTTTTTGTCTTATTTCAAGCTTTTCGCTTGTTTCGCTCTAATTCATAAATTATCAATTATTGTGCAATTCCATTCGAATACATTATTCGTCGATTTAATCTTCTCCCGAGCTTTCCGCAATCTGGAACGTGCGTTTCGGTATCTTCGCTGCATTACACGGTCTCGCAGGTACGTGTGTACCTGGCGTGGACCCTGCAGGCCCCTCGCGAAAAGGTCACGGTAAGGTCAGGTAATGATGGCCCGAACTCTGCAATCACAGAAGCGCGCACGCCACGTGGCTTTGGTGTACGCCTTTAACCGACCTCTCCATACCGGATCCAGCGCCGAGATCAGGATCGATGGAAATGCACAATGCGCCACATTGCCATGACGGTCCTTTTGTTGTTTGTTGCACGATTGAGACGATGCTTTCTACATCAGCAATGAAGAAGATAACGATAATATATTAATAGAATGAACGTTCATACTCGATGTAATGGAAAATTCGGATTTTTAAATATTTATTCATAAATGAACAATTACAAAAGTGCTATGTTTAAATTTAAAGAAATTATCTTTTTCTTGCAAGTAGTGACAACTTGTCTGATGTGAGTAAACTAATTAATTTTATATTTATGTAATAATGTTTTGAAAAGAGGTGTAATTCCTTAAATGATTTAGTTAGATAAGTTACTGAAATACGGGTCATGAAATTTTCCAACAACGTCACGAGATTAAATGACTTTGGTCATGTGGCCATCGAGCCAATTCGAGGTCGATAAGAAATAGAAGAGTTTCTCAAGTCACGCCAAGTCATTCCCTTGTAATTATATGTACCGCATGACCAATAGGAGGTCCATGTATCGACAATTAGAGCATTTCGGCTTCTCATTTAACGGCCCCTTGATTGATTCGGATAAGTCCTGTAGCGTTTTTTCTTTCATTATCTTTTTAATGATCGGTCGCGTTGGATTCACGAATTCAATCGAGAGTACGCGTAATGACTTTGGAGAGTATCGTTTACAATGTTGAAATAAAATATAATGACGCGCTTGCATAATTCAGAAAACAAATATTTATTTGCTTTGTTAATTAGTTACATTCAGTCGTTTGTAGGCTCATTCTATAGTATTGTTTTTATTATCAAAGATAAATATATTTTTTGACAATCGATTAGTAATTAAATTTCTAAATAATTTTTAATTTATAATATTTATATTATAAAAAAATGTTAGGATTAATTATTGTATCAGTAAAAATTTAAAGGTAATGTATTTTTTGCCAAATAGTGAAGTTAAGATAAAGTTTTTAGCACAGTTGACACTTTTCTCTTTCTTTCGTGATAAAGATAGCATTATAGTTAGATTATTAGCGACTATAGAGTGTAATAAGCGTTAATGCTTTATGGAGATTAGAATCCTTTCTCCTTTGGAAGCAGCAGCAGGTCTCATACTTTCGTTCTCCTTTAGATCGACGAAGATTCATGAGGACGTCGGAACATTCAACTTCGAATCGCAGAATCTTTCTCGGCGCGTTCCTCGCAATTATCACGGCACCCGCATCGATCGTAATTATATACATGAGTTTGGTATCAGCAGTGCCAATCACGAATACATTATTCATAAACAGAAACAACACCCGGTGCTTGCCACTGGTTGCAAGTGTCGAGACATGAATACATGACGCAAAAAACCGATACATTTTTCGTAAAAATATATATTAAATAAACTATTTCAGCTTAATTCGATGAAACATGAAAGTAAGAAGCATTTGTCGATTTTGATATTTGAGAAGAAACCACATTTCTTTTGTGATAGATTTGTGACAATTGTGATAAGTTTACGATAGATTGTACCAAATTGATTGTGCTAAAAGTAAGACTGAAAATGATAACGTTTTGATTAAACTCATTCTCTATTAGTGATATTATTTCGTTGTATAACAAAAATTCTTTTTGCATCTGTGTGGAATGTAAGTAGATAAGATCACTTAGTGGAGGCTTTGGGAAAAACTGTTGGGGTTTCATAAATTATGACGGTGTCGCGACAGTCGGTGCGAGCGTTACAGGGAAAAGCATATTAATTAATTGCCACATAAAATTGCCGTCTACGATACCATCTCACAATTCTTGCTTGAATCGTGCACTTCTATTGCGGTATGATATTAAATCACGGACTTCTCTTGTCAGTCGCCTTTTAACTCTTCTAATTGAGTGATTAACAGGAGCTCCTTGTTTCTCGTGTTACGAAACTTATTCGTTGAAAAACGTGTCTTATTGAAAATGTTACATAGTATACCGATGATTTTCATGTCGTAAGGGCAGCGTCA